GGGAATGTCACAGATTTGAGGGTTCATATACTGAAAAAAACGTGGGATGATGGCGAACCACTACTTATATACAAGAAGGCTGACAGGAGTAAAAAGGGTGAGGAAAATCAAACCGAAGGGGGTTTGGATGTGTCTGATACACTCTCCCTTTGGTGTCTTCTCAAGAAAGAATCGGACTACTCTCCAGCTGGTTTTTGGGTTTGGGACTGAGATTTCTTAAAAGAGAAGCAGTGTCAATACAGGACCACCATGAGACTGGTACAGCTCACCCTTAAGGGACACGTCCTTTGATTCAAAGGCTCTCAGTCTGCCCTGACCAGTGTGGCTCCGAGGGTCGGGCATCAGCCCACAGAGTGAAAGGTCGCCTGTTCGATTCCTGGTCACAGCACGTGCCTGGTTGCATGTTTGGTCCCTGGTTGGGGCGCTTGCAGGAGGCAACTGGTGGGTATTTCTCTCTCACCTCAGTGTCTCTCTCCCTCTCTGTGTCCCTCCCCTCTCTCTAAAGATAAAGTATTCCTTTTAAAAACGCTCTCATCCCTGTGCTCCCAACTGGTCTTCGTCTGCCCGCCGTTTGGGCCTAACGTGCTGTATTCTAATGACCCGTTATCGTGAATTTCGCACTCGCGCTCCCTGCAGATTGTAAGTGACAAGGATTAAATGATATTTATCTTTGTATTCCTAATATCTACTGTGGTTCCTACCCTCCGTGCCTACCAGAGGGGAATCCCAAGGCGAGACGGGGCACAGTTCAGTTTCTGTAATTTCAGACCCTTTTACTGAACATTTCCACCGAGAGACGTCTCTATGCTCCTGTCGTTCTTTTTTTTTTTCTTTCAGTTACAATATTTGTCAGAAGCGGTGCTTTACAGAAAAAAAAAAAAAAGGATAATTTAACCAGGAGACAAGAGCGCCGGCGGGGGGTGGGGCAAAAAAACCCAGAGACCTCCAGTCCTGGCTCGCGCTTGTTTTCCTTGAAGCACCACCACCGCCACCCCCAGACGGCTCGGAGGAAAAGCTCTGCTCCTCATACCTGATCAGGTGGCTCAGAGAGAGACCAGGACCAGAAAGGATGGGGAATGATTTGCAAAGAAGCCAAAAGGCGAATTCTGTAACTGTGTGTTTTTCCACTCTGTTCGGATTTGAAACCACTTACCAGTTACAACTCCCAACCCCAGGCAGGTGCTGTGTGGTGGCTCATTACACCCTCGGGACCCCGCGTAAATCTTTTTTCTGAGAACAGCTATTGTCTTGCAAGGAAAAGCTTTTAGCATAATGGCAGGCTGAATAGAACACTGCTTTTGTAAGAATATCTTTAAGAAAAGGCAAAGGAGAGAGGCACTCTTTAACAACTGCAAATGCTGCCTGTGGCTCCCCCCTCCTCCGCCCCCTGGAGAGAACAGTGCATGGACCCCGGAGACCAGGCAGGGGAGGGGGACCCCCTCGCCTCCTCTAAGCCTCCTCCTGAGGGTGACAATCTCCACAGGCTGGAGGGAGGAGTTTTTCACACCAAACACCAGAGAGCCACCCCCCACCCCCACCACCCCTGTTGTTTCTCAGCTTCTCTCCAGTGAGTCGGTGACACCATACTTGGCGAATGAGGGTTTCTAGTAAGAAAACGACATTGTCCCCCAGGAGAGTCCCACAAATGAGGTCCTCCTCTCAGCGCCCGAGGACAGCTGAGACAAGACAGCTATGGGGTCTGAAGACATAAGGGTCCAAAAAAGGGAGCATTTAGCAATAAGGCTGCTGAGAAAAATGAAGCACCCAAGATGCAGAGTGCATTTTCCCCAAAATAAAAAGAGGCCCAACTTCCTCTCTGGGCTGAAATGGTCATTTAGAAGGCGAGGCTGGTTGGGGGAAATGCAGAGAAAAGGGGGACATTCACAAAATAATGGGGGCCTTTAATAGGCAGCCTGTTTTGATCATGTGCATTTCTGGGGGACACCCCAGTGGTGGCTGAGCTTGGGGGAGAGACATCCCGAAACCACTGCGGGGTCCTCCCTGAGCACCCGCTGACCACCCCTGTGGCCCCAGCTGCCTGCTGACCTTCAGGGAGCCTTCCCTTTGCATTGGCAAATTGGAGTCATGACAAGGACGGGAAGTGCCACGGCGGCCACAGCAAGCATCGGAGAGCAGGTGTGGTTCCGGGAAGGGCTGAACCTTGGAAAAGGTGGACGCACTCCCCTCTCCGGGTTTCTCCACCAGGTCCCCCAGGGGTGGAGTGAACAGTGACCCCGCCCCCAGGACCTTCCTGACACTCCGACTTGCTCTCTAGCTCCCCTTAAATGTGGCGTCTTCTCTCGGTTCACATCCAAACACCAGAGAACGCACACACCATCCCCAAGTTCACACGCTGAAGAAAACAGGACTCGTCAGGCCTCTGCTAGGAAGGTGCACACTCCACGGGTCTGCGAATCAGAGCCCCTGATGACGCAGTGTGTGCGGGGATTCAGCCAGGCTGAGTAGCTGCACAGACAGTGCAGTCTGGTCTCAGGGAGCACTAGGAACTCCGCGGACTCCACACACAGTGCAGGCTGGTCTCAGGGAGCACTAGAAACCCCACGGACTCCAAGAACAGTGCACTCTGGTCTCAGGGAGCACTAGGAACTCCACCGACAGTGCAGTCTGGTCTCAGGGAGCACTAGGAACTCCGCGGACTCCGCGGACAGTGCAGGCTGGTCTCAGGGAGCACTAGGAACTCCAAGAACAGTGCACTCTGGTCTCAGGGAGCACTAGGAACTCCACCGACAGTGCAGTCTGGTCTCAGCGAGCACTAGATACAATGTCCTGGATTGATCTGGCTGCCAGCCCCACTCTGACGCCTCCTGCTCCAGCCCGCGGGAGCGTCGGCCCACTCTCCCGCACCCACTCTCCGCTCCGCAGCCCCTAACGTCCCGGGCTGCCCTGCAGGCCTGGACTTGCCCCAGTGCACCGTCCGCTGACGCTCTCCGAAGTCAGAACAAGCTGTTTTTCCTTCTCCTTTTGCCGTCAAGTTCCCCCCGGGGGCTTGTGTCTGCCACGATGGCTTCAGTGCCAGTTCCTCGCAGCACCTCCCGGTCCACCGTCTCACCGGAAAGGGCAGAGGGTGGCTTTTTCCTTGGAGATCTGCCAGCTGTTTCGCTCTGAGGGCTCAGACCTCAAGGGGCGTGAGGTAGGGGCCTGGTGGGCAGGGGCCCACACTCAGCACTCCGAACCGCAGTCACGTGGACACCCGGCAACCCTGGCTGCCACTGAACCACAGAGAGGACGTGGTAAGAAAGTAAGGTTATCTATTTCATAAAATATTTTTGGAAAAACAAATCAAACCAAACGAACGCCTTTAGGAGACTCTCTGGAGCCCAGGCCCTGAGAAGGACTCAAGGCAATCAATAAACCATCCTCAACCATCTCCAGGCCTGGGACCACAGCCACATTCTCATTTCTCGGGTTTCTGAAATGAAACGGAAGCAGTCCCCCCACCACGTGGTGGAAAGCGAGTCTTCCAGGGCACAGTACCTCCTTATGAGGGGGGAGCGGCGGCCGCGGAACCAGAAACCGGCCCAGTCACAGGTACCCACAACCCCAGCCTGAAGCCGACCCAGGCCCCTGGGGGGCGGAGTGGGGCAGCCGAACTCCACCTTCAGGGGGGCCCATCGGGAGCTGCTGGCTCAGTTGCTATCCTAAATCAGTACATGACATTTTGTGGTTCAGAGGAAGTTAAATAGTTTTATTTCTGATTTATAGGCATAGTTCATTGCATTTAGGATGGGAGGTGTGTACTGTGTGGGGTTTTCTTTTTCCTTTTAGACATACAGCAATGGCCTATGTTTGTGTATATATTGCAACCTGCCAAGCAAGGCTTTATTTACCCTGTAGCCCGTCGGAGAGTGCATCCCCAGCTCCGCAGCCCAGGCTACGCCTTCTCAGCTCCATGCTGGAACCAGAGGGTCTAAACGTGCTCTCCCCACTCCCTCCTGCCACTGTGTCTGAAACATCTGCCATGAAAACACCTTCGGTGGGTTAGAAAAGGAAAATAAAATCCACTGTGAGCAGGAAGGAGTAACACATTTACTGGTGGCCAGTGCGGTGTGAGTTGCTTTAACAATGAAGCCAGCTTCTAACAATGTCAGGGCACAGACCAGGACGGCCCACATGGGGGACTGATCACCTATTCTAAGGACGACGACCCACCGTCCTCACAAGCCACACAAATGACATTTCCAGTGTTCCGGCAAACAGATGGGAACTCTTCTTGCGTGACCAGGAATCAGAGCAGTAGTGTGGGGAGGGTGCGACACCCTTTAGCTCTTTGAGCTTCGCTGAGGCCCAGGGCCAGCTGCACAAATGCAGGGCCCGCTGTTCCGAACTGTTTCGAGAACGTCAAGGCGGTGACGGAAGAGCATCAGACGAAGGGCCAGGCCCTCCCAGGCACGGGACCTGGAGGCTGTACCCAGGGAGACGGTCCCCGTTCGTCCTTTCTCCTAGGGTGGAGCCCGGGCTTCCTCCGACCCAGCCCCACGACTGCCACTCACATAGCTACCGCGTCGCAGAGAAAACAAAAAGCATTCACCTGACCACTGAAAGGGCCCCTCCGCTCTGCCCAGGATACCGCTTGAGATGAACCAACCGCTGACACACTAGCACATGTTTGAGAGAGAAAACCGTACTGATTCATGAGAGTGTGTGTTTGTAACCACTGATCTTACAGAGCAAGCAGCAGCCAGTCTCCTTGGATTCACAGAGGAGGGACACCAAGAGGTCTCTGAACCAGAGATGCCACCTGCCATCCGATGCCCACCAGCTACCTCGTCTCCCTGGCAGTCTGCGGCTCATTCTTTCTCCCCCCAACAACAGGGTGACATTAGGACGCATCCCTTGTGTCGTGCCAAGAAGAGTGGACCAGCCCCCAACCCTGTATGGGGCTTCTGATCTCAAAGGGAGACAGTGTGTCCAAGACTCCAGCCGAGACGTCCCGTCCCACCCACCACACCGTCACAGAGGAGGGCACTCGCTTTACTCACGGAACTGCTCTAGGTGGTCCTCGCTGGCGGACTCGGGCACGGCTGTGATGGTCACCAGCGGACACGGATTCCCCCCCAGCGTCTGGCACAGAACCTCCTGCCGGAAGTACACCTTGTTGGGGTTGACACTTTTTTCCAGGATGTCAAGGTGAGTCTGGAGCAGAAACAAAACAGAAGTGCATACGACTTGTATTCCTGACAACAGCAACAATAACAGAGAACAGCAACAAAGCGCACATTTGTGTGACCCCTCGCAGGGGTGTCCAACCAGGATGGCTATGAGCACAGCCCAGCACAAAATCATAAATTTATTAAAACATTCTGAGATTTTTTGTGTGTGGTTACGTGTTGCAATGTTTTTTAACGTGTGACCCAAGACAACGCTGCTTCTTCCAGTGGCCCAGAGACGCCAAACGCTGGGCACCCCGTCGGAGTTCACAAGTGACTGTGTTAGCCTGATCTGCCCGATGCTGGCTGGGCGTGAAGCCACCGAAAGGGAGGCGATCTCCACCACCCCGGGGAGGGTCAGGGAGGCGGGAAGACAGGAGTGCATCGTCCTCGCCCACGTCTGCAGAATAAAATGATAAAGTGCCCGCGTTCGACGGGCTCTCTAAGCGAGAGGACGGGGCACGCAGCACCGCCCCGTCGCTGTGGCAGAGGACGAGCGTGGCTGCCACGAAGAGGGAGCGCCCCCAGAGCGCCGGGGTCCACGGGCCCGAGCGCTCCTGCGGCACACAGCCCGCCCTCCAGAGCCCAGCGGTGTCCGGCGGGTGGCGAGCACACTGCAGGAGAACAGAGGACAACTCGGCTGGGGGGCGGGGTGCCAAGCAAAGAGAACCACCACCAGCTGGTAGCAACGGCCTCGGCCTCCTCCTCCTCCTCCTCCCTGCCATGGAAACGAACACTCTCGGCCAACAATCTCTGAGATCTCTGAAGACAGTTTCGCTGACCTCCACACGGGGATCCGTCCTGAGGAGGTGCGGGGACTTCCTCCCACGCGACAAGCCCTGGTGACAGGGACACCGTGACCTCAGCCATCGGGGACGCTGCCGCTCCCGGGCACGAGGGCGTCGGCACACAAAAACTCAGCCTTCAAGTTCAAGACTGAAAGTTTCCACCGCGGTCAAGCAGGTGTCCGTCCACAGGGCCAAGGAGAAGCTGCCCACCTTGCTTTTGGCAAGTAAGCCGGCTAGATAAACGGAAACACAATTCTGCAAAACCACTGATAAAATAGTCATACAATACACTATGGAAGGGGAGTAGTGCCCTCAAAAGGTAGAGGACGTGCTCACATGTGAAAAGTCTGTGCCGCAGAAAGCGCAGGTGGAATAATGGCTTGTCGGACCACACCGCAACCTGTAACCATGTCCCCTTGCCCGGCACGAGGGACTGGCAGACATGCTGCAGGTGAAGGTCTGCCTGGAACAGGGAGATGAGCCTGCACCGTCCACCTGGAGCCAACCTAACCACACACGCGTAAAAGCAGAGAACTTTCCCCGGCCGCAGAGGGCCGGAGAGGAAGCAGCGGGAGTAGGACTCGGCCTGCCATTGCTGGCTTTGCAGACAGACGCAGGGGTCAAAGGCTAATAAAGGTGTGGTCCTGGAAAAGCTGGAGAAGGCGAGGAAACGGATTCTCCTCCAAGTACCTCTCAAATAAATGCGGCCCCTGCAGCCTGAAAACCCTTCTAATCTGAACAGCTCCAAGGAAAACCACGGTTTAAGCCGCCATGTCTGTAGTAAGTTCTTACGGCAGCAATAGAGAACCGGTACATCGAGAAACTGGAAAAGGAATTTCAACTAACTGAAAGTCTAGGATTGAGGTAGATACAGACAAAAACCTGCTTGACTGAAGTAATCGCAAGGAAGAAGCATCCCCCCACTGAGGAAGAGGTCGTCAGACAGTTCTGTGACCTTTTCTTTAGCCCGAGGGACACCAGAAACTTTCACCATGAGTCACGGCCTCCTCGCAACCGAGACTCCAAGTCTGCTCCCCGACTCAGCCTGCTGCTTGCATTAACACGGCGTTACTATCCCCTGTCTGCAGCAACACCCTTCACTGCTTGAGAAAACCCTTCCCCAGAAAAATAGCAACTGCAAGTAAGTGCGTTGTTCATTCCAGGAACATCTCAAACCTTCAATGAAAAGAACAATGACTCTTTAAACCAAGACCCTTTGAACCCGTCTCCTCAAATTTCTTGCCCGATGGCGCCCACCAATCTTAAACCCTTATGTCCTGTCTTTACCCAATGCTAACCAAGCCCCCACATTAAAATACCTGCCTTCCAACAAGACTCCGAAGCCTTAACAAACGTCCCAGCTCTGCCCCTCCCCCTGTGAGACACTACCAAGACCCTGCCATGTTCTCCCTTGCCCAGTACAAGAGCTTCCTCTCACCACTGTAGGACGTTTCCACAAACGCAGTGGATGGAGGCCACCCAGATTCACTGCCCTGCAGTACAGGAGATCCGAAGTCCACGGTGGGTCTTCCTGGGCAAACATCCAGGTGTTAAGAAGTCTATGACTACACTCCTGTGGTAGCTCCAGAAATGCTCCATCTCCTGGCCTTTTCCGGCTTCCAGAGATCGCCTGCATTCCTTACTATATGTCGCTTTTGCTCACCTTAAAAGCCAGCATTAAGCCTTGGCTGGTGTGGCTCAGTGGACTGAGCGTAGGCCTGTGAACCAAAGGGTACAGGTCAATTCCCAGTCAGGGCACATGCCTGAGTGGTGGGCCAGGTTCCCCAGTTGGGGGTGCTCGAGAGGCAACCACACATTGATGTTTCTCTCCCTCTCTTTCTCCCTCTCTTTCCCTCTCTCCAAAAAATAAATTAAAAATGAAATCTTTATTTTACAAAAGCCAGCACTCACATCATTGCCACATCTGCTGTCTGACCCTAACCCTTCTGTCTCATTCGTCCACTTACAAGGACCCCCGAGATTACATTGAACCCGATACAATAATCCAGGAGAGTTGCTCCATCTCAAGGCCCTTTACTTAATCACAGCTTCAAAGTCCCTTGTGCCACGTAAAGTAACACCCCACAGGTTCCGGGGACTAGGACGTGAACATCTTCGGGGCCCACTATCTGCCTGCCCCACCAAGGTAAGCAATAAACTCAAGTCTCTTAGAAACAGAGTGTTCTGGGGACATTTCTGGAAGGCACAATGCTAAGAAATTGGACGGAGCACCTTTCCCAGATTCAAGATGAGAATTCAGCTGAGGTCCACGTATCCGACCAAACCTTTGTACTTTATTCTTGTGACTGCCTGAGTGATGGGCACCGAGGACTGTTGAGGTGCACCTGCGTGGGAGATGGGGAGGCCACACCCCTGCGCAGACACGGTGGCCGGCTCACTGTCTGACGGCCTTCCGATCGCCGGAGCTCAGCCTCCTCTCCCGTGACCGCACACACGCCCGGTGGAGAGAGCCAGGAGCCCAGAGATCTCCGCCGAGCCCTTTCCGTGCACACAGTGTTACTGCCTGGCCTGCGTCCTTTCTCAGGGATCCGTGAACGTGTTCAGGGTAGAGCCTGGTTCTGCATGTCTGATTGGCCGTCGGAACCCAACACCGCTGCTTCTCCTAGAGCAGCAGAATGGGGGCTGCACCCCACAACTGAGGTTATTTTTAAAAGTGATTACGTGTGTGTGCGCACTTGTATAAACTTACGTATGTACATGTACGCACACACAAAACATCACTCTTGGGCCTTCACACTTGCTCGGCAACACCACGTGGATGCCAGAGGAAATGAAGGACTGCTCAGGGCTCCAAAGAAGAAAGGGTTTCGGTCCAGTAAACCTCTCATCAGCCACCACATTTTTGCTCACACAGGTAGCCTCCACGCTCAGACACACAAGAACTCAGAAATGTTCGGCCTGACCACTACCGAGAACAAGAGCTTGGAGACACATCATTCAGCTGTCCAGAATCAAACACAAGAGCGCTATGAAAGGAAAGTCCAGTTCAACTGGTTTAAGCCTAAATGCCTACTGAAAATATGTTACTACACTAGACAAACATTAAAAAGTACTTTGTAGGGAGAAAGTACATACTATCAAACTTTAATGCCATGATCTGGTGCTACAGCGAAATTTAAAAGTGTGTGAAGAAGAAATAAAGTAAAACAAAATATTAACTTTTTCAACTTACAGTCATGGACAGAGTAATGTTATTTGATTCTTGCAAATGGCAAGGTAGGGCACGCATACATAGCAAGATGGCTAACCAAGCCGGCTCTGGACGCAAACTGCCTGAGTTCCAATTTTGGCTGCAGGTTCTGGAAAAATTATGTAAATGCCGTAGTTAACCTCTCTGTGACTCAATTTTCTCATCTTTAAAATGTATATAAAAACACCATTACCCACCGCACTGAGTGGCTGCTATCATTTAGCCATATCTTATATGTGAAAAATGCCCATCACATACGAAACCCTCGATTTTAACTGTCACTATTGATAGAGAAATACAGATTCAAATTTTTTTTAGGAACCAAAGGGAAGCACTAGTGGAATTATAAACACTTAAGGGAAAAATAAAAATCAAAGGATATACGGTTGGGCCACTTCGCAGAAGAGAGAGAGGGAGGGAAGGAAACAAGCAAAGCAGCATGGGAGACAGCAGACAATCATCACGACAGAAGGAACACCAAACATCGTTGTGAGTACAAGTAGGGTAAACAGCCCTATGAAATTACAAGATTTTCCAGATTAGTTTTTATAAATCTCAGCACATCTTGCATATAAGAGATGCTTTTAAAGAGAGGAGAGAAAAAAACATGCTGTATATAAAAACATGCCTGAATTATCTCTTCACTTTGCTTGCCTCTACTAAAATGTTTTAAGAGAGAAATGCTGAAACAGAAAGGATAAGCAAACATAAATTAAAGCAGGCATGGCAACAGTAATATATGACAAAGTCATATTCAAGAACAAGTGCATTAAATGGGATTTAAAAATCTTATTTTGACAAAGGGCACAATTCACAATGAACATATAAAACTCATAAATCTTAAGAATCAAATAACACAGGATTGAAATATGCAATGCAAAGACGGCAGAAGAGGGAAAGTATACTAGGAGTGGGAGACTTTAAGACAGTACCTCAGTCTTAAATAAATCAACTGCACAAAAATAATGATATCCTGTATTTGAACAA